CTGTGGACAGGTAATATCCATATTTTGATTTATGATTTTCTGGAGTTAAATGTGAACTGAAGCATATTTTCAAAGGTGTTATATGCTATAAAATACTTAGACGAGGGATATAAAAAAATCTAATTTTTCTATGTTTGAGTCACAGCAACTTTGCCATAGTAATATCTGCAGTAATATTTACACGTCTGATGACATCTCACAAGTGTTAGCTTTATTTTGATACCAAGACTGTTTACACAGAGTTTGTAATTGCAGAGAAATACTCCATTTATTTTGGTCATTTCATTTTCGAGCAGAAAGCTCAGAAAACCCCTGGGGCCTAATAGCTTAAAGTTAATTTCCAATAAAACCAACTGTAAGTTGTTTAACTACATTGTTGTCTGTATTATTGTTAAAGTTGTTAAAATGCACAAGCATCTACCTAAAATCTATTTATTTAGTCTATCATCAGTGATTTTATTAAGTACAATTATAATGTATTGTTCATCTCTGGGTGGCCTTTAGGGTCAAAAACAGTCCCTGATCATGGCCTAACTCTCCACCGGGTGACTGTGTCACCCATCACCCTTACCTCTGTTTTTCTTTTTTTGGTTCTCATTTGAATTATAATAGTAATTAAAGTAAATACCTTTAATAGCCATGTTTTCAACTCTGTTTTTGAGTTCAGGATCTGCATGTTTGATGCATTAATGGAAAATTAATTAATCATACAGCTGCACAAAAGTTTACAAAAATATCCATCAATATTTACCACACATATAGGAATCTACAGTGAAATTAAAAAGCAACCCCCCTTTGCAGTTACTGAAAAAGCTGCTGCTGGTATGAAATATTAAATATTTTTGTTTGCAGCCAGTAAGACACTCACCTTTGACCCGGATGTCGCTGTACCTCTGGAAATGGTGATAAGCAGCTTTCCAGGGGTTACGATAGTGCCGCAAAAGTGTAATAGGTGGGCGAGGCTTCACCGGCACGTAGCGCACTCCTTCTTCATCTTCAACATAGAAACAGGTGTTACAAAACTAATAGTGCAGACAGGAAACATCACCATCATCATCCGCACCGCCATGATCAGTTTACATACCGACATACTCCCTTGGTGGAGATTCCCTTCTCTCGGCCCTGCCGGTGATGGGCCTGCCTGGGGTCTTCTCCTCATCCGTGCTGTTAGTCTCGACCATCTCGCTCTCCTCTGTGGAAATGACATGCTGCTGCTTGCGGGGCTTCTTTCTCGGGGAGGCTCCAGGGATCAGATCGCCTGTGGCTGGGGTGCTCAGGGTGGACGTCTGTGTGGTGAGGGCTGGGGCCGCTGACATACTCGTGTTGGGATCTAAGGGGAAGCCTGCATGTTAGTTTTTATTTATATTTTCTATAAAGATGACCTTTAACATTTGGAGCACAAACACGTTTGTCACCTGGCTGAGAGGTGTCCATCGCCTCCACTTCCTGCTTGATTTTCACATCTGGGCAGACAGAGCTCGCGGCACATGCTGGAGTGCTGCTGGCAGCCGGCTGGGTGGGGGAAGCCACAGTGTTGGCCATCGAGGCCGGGACAGGGGGAGTCACAGCCATGGCAGCCGGCAAGGAGGACAGGACAGTGGAGGGCTGTGAGGGAGGCACGGGGCCGGGTGTAGCCAGCATGGTGGGGATGGCTTGAGCGAGGTGCTGGGTGTTCGAGGACACCGCCTGCTGCTCTCCACCCTGAGAAGGCAATGCTTCTACTGTAGCTATGACAGGAGGGGCCACTGCCATGTGCACCTCAGCTTTGGGCTTCACTCTGATGGATGAACAAAACCCGTTACATCACTGACACAGAACAGGAAGTGAACACGCATGTAACAAATGAGACACAAGCTCACCCAGCGGGTCGAGGCGATCCCGCTCCTCTCACGCCGCTGTCAATTCTCCCAGTACTGGCTTCAGACTGGGCGGGGATCAGGTTCTTACGAACACACCTGAGAAAGGGGAAGTGTAGAAAAGAAAACATTAAACTATTTTCCTGGAATTGGAAGTTTGATATGGTTTGACATGGATATTTTGACACTGTGGATTCAGAGCTGTTGATCAGCGTGTGAAAGTAATCCTCCGTTTAGAACGAGTACTGAAAATCTCCAACAACGATGCTTCTGTGTTTCTCCCTCACTCCTTTACTCTCACCATGTTTGGTTAAAGAGATTTTATATATAAGCTTAAAAATATTCAGTTCAGTGCTGTTTCAAACCTTTAGTTTGTTTACTCTGGTTAGAATAAGTTGGTGAGTTTACGACTTTTCCTGTTTTGGTTTCAAAACTAGCCATCTCTCTAGTAGGGAATCATCTGTGTATTCATCTCAGTTTTATTTCTACCCTGCAAAATGTCTCAGCATTCTCCATATTTATTTTAGAAAAACAAGATGTAAGGTTTACTGCAAAACCCTGCTTCATGTGTTATACTCACGTTTCATTGGCGGGCTTCTTGCGGAGAATACTCGGTCTTGGGGAGGAGACCAGTGTGGGAGCTCCTCCCACTCCTCCCCCCTGGGTGTGCGCCTGCACCATGGTGGCTACCGGCTGGGTCGTGCTGAAGGTGCTGCTAATGGGGCTTGCTACAAAGCCATCAGCCAAAACAACCCCTGAATTTAAAAAAACAAACAAACATTAATTACAAACAAATTTCAGTAAAAGACTCAGAGACCATGCTATTTGGTATGATCTAAGTAACTACCAGGCTTTGCTTCAGACTGCGGTTGCTGCTGCTGTTGAGTGACCGGCGCCTGCTGCATTCCCTGTGTGGTGATTGACGCAGACGTGTGCAAACCCTGAACGCCTATCGATGCAGGCTGAATGCCCTGCGCTGCGATCGGTGCTTGCTGGATCCCCTGGGTGCTGATCTGTGCAGACGGCAGACCGATGCGGTCCACTGCCATCAGCTGCATGCGGTTCAATTGCACAGTGGTCGCCACGCCCACTCCAGCTTGAGCTGGCAACGCTGAAGTCGGAGCTTGAGGAGTAACTTAGAGAGCACAAAAGGGTAAAAGATTTTTCAAATCCCAGGCTCTACATTACACTAAACTAGACTTAAGTCCTTCCAATAATGAGCAGACACTCGGACTATAGCAAGTGCTTACCGGGGTACGGGCGGATGGTGGACACAGAGCTGCTAATAGGGGTGTAGGTATGTGGCAGAGGGTATGACGAAGTGTAGGCAGGCAGGAAATACTGGAACTGCACTGGTACAGAAGGTCTTAACAAGAAAGAAACAAGAATTAAAACAAGATCGGATTGGTTGTCTTCATTGTCTGTGATGTTTCATACTTTAAACTCTTGTGATCTGGATCATTGCCACATGCTGGTCCAGACTTAAAGAGATATTTAATATATTTAATACTTTTGAATTGGAAGTTTTATGGAGGGAGAACAACAAAGAGGATATGCTGAAAGATAAAATGGAAAACACAATGTGACAACTTGTTTTCTAATTGGCCAAAAATTTCAACTGAAATTAAACTTGGATTAATTCCACAACTTTAGAGGAAATAAGAGGAAAGCGCACAGATTTTTGATACAACTGTGTAATACCCCATCATATGATCAGACTAAATTCCCCAGCACAGTGAGCTCACCTATTGTCGCTGCGGGCTTCCATGGTGACAGGGTTGGGAGAAGACCTGTGGCCAGGGATGGGGATGAGGTTGGCTCTCTCTCCTGGGTAGTCAGGCTGAACACGGGGTGAAGAATGGGCGATAGGCTGAGGGACCACTTTAGCTGTGAACAACACCCCAGAAGACTGTTAAGAAAAGCGACATGCTAATAATGAAAGGTGAGATAGCATATGTAGGGATGTGCATGCACTAGAAATAATATTTCATTACTTCCAAGTTGTAAAAACGCAGCTCGTTCTGTTCCATGTCATTTAAAAAGGCAGCAGCACAAAAATGAATGTTGCATGAACGAGGCCAAAGAGTCAACATACCAACAGGGATGGTGGAGGTGGTCACTGCTGTAGCATGAGAAGAGTGTGAGGCCATTGTCATGGTGACAATCGTGCTACTCGTCATTTGGGTGTGTGTCACAGCACCTAAACAGAAATGAAACAAAATTTCAGCTTCTTCTTTAGTAACATTACAAAGATTTGACATGCTAATCAAGATAAAAGCTGATACCTATTGTAGTTGTTGATGGCACAGTGTTCGTGGCAACTATTGGTGCCACAGTTGCTGCAGCTACTGGTGTCACATTACTGAATATGGATTTCTGTATGGAAAAAAGGCAAGATTTTAGTTATTATGCAAAATAAATATTGCATATTTTTGCAGTGCATCATCAAGAGTAGTAACCTGTGTCATTGTGTGCGGAGGCTGGGGCTTCTGAGCTCCGACTGCAGGGTGTGATGGCAAAGTGATCCGTGTGGCTGTGTCACGGGTCCCCTGAGGCCTCTGGATGCTGACAGCGGGTGGAGGGGGGTGAATGGTCATTGCTGGACGCCTGAAATAGTAAAATAAATAAATAGATAAATATGACCTCTTCAAAAATGCAAAGTAAACAAGTAGCACTAAACTGCAAACAAACATGGCTAAGAACATACTGAACGATCTCAGACTTTATCTTTTCTTACCCATGTATCACCTCTGGAGAGTGTGAGACTGTCTGGCTGATAACTGGAGATTGAGTTCTAGTCACTGAGATGGGAGCCACCACGGTTGGGAGGACAGCTGTAGAGGTTGTTGCAGGAGATCGGGACTGTGGACAGTATGGAAAAACAAAAAACAGCAGCAGCCTTGTACTCTGTGCTTCTACATAACTAACATGAATATTCTTATTTCTTTAAAGTTCTGCAGGGCACCTGAATCTGGTGAATGATGTGTGGCACTGTCGGCTGGGCAGTGCCTGCACTTGCTCCAGTGGCTGGCCGCAAGACAGTTTTGGAGCTGGACATAACAGCTGCTGCAGCAGCCCCTGCAGGACAGAAAATACAGCAATCCATCAAAATGCAAGCCTGACATACTGTCGACAACATTTAGGAGATGACTGTCCAAATCAGTTTGCATCTAACTTTTACTTTCTCTTTGACAGATCATTTACAAGTACTCGTTTCCCAAAGCTGCACTAAAGGTACTCCCACAGGAGTCTTCCTCGCTATATACCTCGAGGCAAGTGTGGTGGGAAGGACTGTTGAGGAACTGCAGCAGGGGTCCTGATGATCTGAAAGTTCGGCATCAGGTGCACGTTGCTTGAGTGACCCTTAAACACCAAGAAAGTAGTACAGGTCTTTAGTTATCAGCAGGAAAAAGACAAACATTAAAAGCAAATGTAGAAAAGACTCACCTGCTGACCACTGATGGTTGCCACAGGGATAGACGGGGTGGTAGCGATGCTGCTCTCGATGGTGACTGTTATGTGACCAGGCACCTTGGGGGGTATGGGCATATGAGCCTGGTTGGAAGCTGGTGCTGGAGCAATAAGACGACTTGGCATTGGTGACTTCAAGACCGCCTGAAAAAGACATCAATTTAAAAAAAATTAACATCTGTTTGTTTTAACAAATAATACAAGCTAGATGATCAGATTCAGACAGCCCAGGTGAAAGGTTCAAGCTCAAGTAAAAAAAGAAATATCCTATGATGAGATTCCTGTCTACAGCATTACATTTTCCCCCCACAGATCAGAGTTTTACTGAACCTTTTGGTACTTCAGAGCTAATTTTAACTTTAA